CACCACCACCACCCTGTCACACACCACCACCCCACCCACCCCCCCAATGGATTGATGAAAGAAACAAATACACAAAAATGTTCCAAAATAAACATTATTCAATAAAAAGTATAAATGTTTTTGTTTGTTTGTTTAGGGATTGAGTCCAGGATGTTACGACACCTACAACGCCGACATCGACTGTCAGTGGATCGACATCACCGACGTCCCACCTGGAAAATACATCCTGAAGGTTGAAGACACAAACTGACTGTCTCTGTGTCCCCACGTCCATCTGTCCACCTGTCCATCTGTGACTTACATCAAGCTCTGTTCACTTCAACGTGTCACAGATTTAGTTTTTATTCTCACCAATATAAAAACAAAGTCATAATAATTGTTCCACCTTTCATGAAGCCCAAGGACATCCCAGTGTCTGCTGAGGGAAGCTGCTTCAGAAAATGGCGGCAGGCGCCAGTTGTGGGTCGTCAGAACTTTGTATCAACTGAAAGTCCAGTTTTCTGTCTCAGTCTTTGCGTTTCTTGTGTGCTGACTTGGTGGAACACAAACTTTATTTCTCATGTTAGCGCACACAGGAAGCTACTAACGTAAACACCCACTCACCTTCAAAATAAAAGCCCTGAAAGATCAAAGCAGAATTTGGGATTTTCCTTTCTTTAAATATGATTTCTGGTTTTCCACTGCCCTCTGGATGTGATCTGTAACTCTGACGGGGTTTTGTCTCGGCAGGTGACGGTGAACCCCCGGCAGCAGGTCCCAGAGTCCAACTTCAACAACAACGTGGCTCAGTGTCACGTGCAGTACACGGGCCACGCTGCGCACGTCTCTGGATGCTCGTTGACCGGGTAAAATATACATTTTTATTATTTGTCTTTAACTGCAGACCTGAAGTTTGTCCGAGGTGTCTGCAGCAGCAGGAGTCTCCTCAGGTGGAGGATGCTCCTCGGCTCATCCGAGAAAATAAAAGCTCACGAGCTCTGCAGCATCCTCAGGCTCTGATGGGATTATTTGTACTGCCCTGCAGAGATCAGCTGATTCGACCTGACTTTAAAGCCCAGGATTACTGTCATCATGTGAAATAAAACAAACCTTCACCTGCAGGAGAGTTTAGTCTAAAAACCTGAAACCACCAAAAGCAACAGTCAGATGTCAGAGTTGTCTCGTTGTCAGGAGCTTCACCTGCACCAACGTTTGGAGACGTGACGTTTGTTTCAGAAGATTCAGCAATTTGATTAAAAGCAAGCTGAGAAATAAATATTTACCTGAAGGAACAAAGGAGCGGATTAATTCCTGAGTTTTATTATTTAGTTTTACAATAAAAACATTTATAATTAATAAAAAATAGTTTTTTTTTATTTAATAGGAGCAGCCATTTTTGCATCTGTTTATATTTTATTTTTGCCTCTAAATCTGAGTTATTTCTGAACAATAACATTTTTTCTTCCTGTTGTGTGTTTTTGGTGTTTCTTGCAGCTACTGAGTCTGAAGATGAAGAAACAAGCGGAGCTTCACAGAAGATTTTTCTTGTGTGACCTAAACTCACCAAAGCGCCTCATTAATAAATCCAATTAAAGCACCTGGAGCAGGACATTTGGACTCATTACTGGACTCTGCTGCAGGACATCAGTCTGGTTCTTTACACGAGTACTGTATTTCTGTGGTAAAATATATATTTTACACCAGAGCTCCTACATTTGTCTCAGTCACTTGAGTTCATGTCCCTCTGATGGTAATTTGTGTTGGTGCCACCTGCTGGACATGAGTGTGAACTACAAGTCAATCTGTTTCTTTTTTTTATAGAAAAATGTTAGTAAGGAGATCAAGCTTTCTCTGGAAATATAAAACATTTAATTATTCATTAGTATTAATTTCTACTGTTTAATAATGAAGCAGAAATATGTTTTATAGCTTCACGCTCACAAAAACTAATTCCAAAAGTTCAGCTGGAAGTCGTTTGTTTCCTCCTTTTTATTGCTTTGCAGATTTATTTTATATAAATAAAAAATAAACTTTTGGGAGATTATTTTTAGTTCAAGTTAAATGAAAACATTTCAGGAAATACTGACTATAAATAACAAAAGCTTCAGCTTTCATTGAAGTGAATCTAAATCTAATATATTTTATTTAAAGGTCTTTCTCTTAAGTCTTTCGGTGCCGTCACTTCGTGTTCGGTCACTTTCATAAAGGATGAAACGTTGGTGCTGTAGCTTTATTAAAATTTATATTTTTGTTTCTTTCAGGGAGATTTTTTAGAGAAAACCTACACAAGTATTTTATTTCAAATCAGATCTAATCTTTATTGGTGCTGCAGAGCTGATTCTTTCATTTTTAGTGATTAAACAAAGTTTGTGAGACTTAAAAATGGTTTTAATATTAAAAAATATTAGGAAGATCAGCTGTAACTCAGAAACATAAATAAATGTTTTTTGTTTGTTTGTTGTTTGTTTGATTATATTGGAATAAAATCCAGTCAGTGAGCTCTCACTTCCTGTCGTCGTCCTGCTTCAACGCTTCAATAAAGTTTGTTTTAATCTGAGGAGAAACTTCTTATTTTTATTCCAGCTGTTCCTCTGCTCCAGCTGTTTTATGAATAAAAAGTGTTTTTCTGACGCCTACTGGAAGTGGCAGAGATAAATCGTTTTTTTAAATCAAAAATAAAATTAAAAGAAAAATAACATTAGTCAAACAAAGTTTCCCTGGAAATAAAAAAACGTGAAACATTCAATGATGTCATATCCTTCTGTTTTAAATACAATAACTAAATGTTTTCCTAATCTTCCCTAATGTTGTTTATTATTATTATTATATTATTTAAAGTTTAAATATTCAGTTTGTTTGTCTTTTGGCCACAGATCGGCCTCATCTTTGAGTTCTGTTATTAAAATTCACATTTATACAAATAAAAGCAGAGGAGAATGTGTTTTATTTGGTCTCATGTCCTGTCTCATGAGTCTATAACATCTTCTGAGTTTTATTTATTGATTGAAGTAACTATTCCATGAGAGGACCACAGAACTTGACTTTTATTTCAGGAAAGAAAAAAAAAGTAGCTTCTGATGGGACGAACTGCGAGTCCGGTTCTGGATCTGAACCCCGTCGTCATGTTCTTGTGCACAGTAGAACCTCGAGCGAACCTGTGGATACACCTGACCCGTGACTCTGTGATTACCTGAAGTTCAGGTCCAGATGAAGAACAGAAGAAGAGCTCGGTACAGATGTTCTGGTTCCATGTCAGGTGTTTGACTCTTAACGGGTCAGGTTCCTCCCTGTTCTCTCCTGGTTAAAGTTTAACTTCTGCAGTCCAAGTGGGACGTTAGTTCATAAATTAAGACTAAAAATGAGTTTAAAACTGTTTTAATTACTTATATCGTTTTAATTGTGACTCACTAAAGCTCCACAAGGATCCTATAAAATATCTTAACGAACAAAACATTTCATTATTTTCATTCTCCGGTCCAAACGGGACAATTAGCTGTTTTTGAGCAAAGTATCTGAGTTAATTAATTAAATGATGCCTGTTCATTTGCTCTGTGCGGTCAGAATAAGAAGAAACGTAGAGTTTTGTTGGTTCTTCTGGAGGTTTTATTCCAAGGATAACGGATCCTGAGCGTCTCCAAAGATCGTTTATTAATAAGATGTATCACCTCTGATCGGAGAAAAATATGAAAAGCCACTGGCGGCCAGTGACCGACTGTAAGTGCGCGTGGCGACAATCATTTTTACCTGGAATAAATGACGCAGAAGAACAAACATGTCTTTATTTTTGCTGATTTTTCTCTTCTATCTAAGGACTACAACAGAATGAAGTGTGATATTTGTGTCAGAGTGAGACCTCCTCCATATGCGCTCCTTCTGTGTTAAAGTCTTTGTGCTCCTCAGGAGGCGACAGAAGGAGAAAAAACAGCTGGATCCAAGAATCTGCTCCAGGTTCTGGAACCGAACCGTTCCTCTGGGTTCTGCTGGACTTCCTCACGGTACAGTATGACAAAACTGAACCCAGGAGCTAAAAACTCCTTGTTTTTACCCGAGTCTCCTGCGTTGGACCTGATTTTTCAGCAAGGTTAGCCTGTTAGCATCACTGTTAGCATCTGATGCTGATTAGCCTGTTAGCATCACCGTTAGCATCTGATGCTGATTAGCCTGTTAGCATCACTGTTAGCATCTGATGCTGATTAGCCTGTTAGCATCACTGTTAGCATCTGATGCTGATTAGCCTGCTAGCATCACTGTTAGCATCTGATGCTGATTAGCCTGTTAGCATCACTGTTAGCATCTGATGCTGATTAGCCTGTTAGCATCACTGTTAGCATCTGATGCTGATTAGCCTGCTAAACTCAGCTAATTAGCCTCCGGGGTTCAGGGGATTAAATGAAGGGATTAAACCAGAAACCAGCAGAGAAAGGACAGCAAGAAGCTTGCACTTTAATCCTCATCTGTAAAACAGACCCTCTGAAAATGTTTATTATAAATCAGAACTCTTGTTGTTTTTTTATTTATACAAAAATAAAGTTAAAAAAAATCACCTAACTGCTGCGTTCAGGTGTCATGATGCTAAATCTAGTAGCAGGAGGAAATTTTTTACTTTGTTTTTTATGTTAATTCTTTAAGTAGTCACAAAAAATATATTTATTTTTAATCTTACAACAACAACAAAAACAAACTAAATGTTGCATTTAGGTGTAATTTAATTTTAAATTAATCAGCCTGAAGGAAATAATCCGATTCTTTATAGAAAATAAAAGTGAGGATTTTATACAGTTTGCTTTTAAACCATTTACTAAAATCAGCCAGTAGATTTTTTTTTCATTTTTTACTTTCTTTTAAAGCTATTTGTTCCCTTTTTAGTCATTATATTTTAAATTATTGAAATAAAAACAGAAACCTTGTTTAACACTCGGATACTTGTTCTGTTTTACTGCTCATCTTTGGAGCTGAATCTATAAATATTCTCGTTTATTTTTCTGATCAATTATTAGTTTAAAGCAGCTATTTGTTCGTGAACTCTTTTTATATTTTGTTTGGCTTAAGAGGAGAACCTCTAAAGTTATGTAGGGTTTGACAAAAGTCTGAGTATTTGTTTAAAATAGATGAATAATTAAAAGCTGCACATATCTATAAATGCTTTTGTCATTTTAGTGTTTTGTTTGCTTATTTGAAGGCTCTGTAATCAAGTAGAAATCGTTCTTTGAAAGTAAACTCAGATTTTTAAAGTTAATTTCTTTGTATAGAAATGTTCCTGTTTGTTGTTTTTGTGTGTTTTTATACAGACTTGTCATTAAACAACATTTAAATCTGTAAAGTCCTTTTGGAGCTGGTCTGATTAGTGATTATTCTGGTTCCTGTCTGCGTGAGAAGCTCCGGCCTCATCAGCTGATCACATAAACACCAGCAGATGTTTTCACTTTTCCTTTAGACGGTTTTAGAGTTTCGGGCCTGGACCGTTGTTATCAGGGACCGGATCGTTTCTCGAAGCTGCACTTAGAAGATTTTTTTAGTTTTGTGGTCACTCCTACTCAGAAAGCAGCAGCTTGACGTTTTCATGGCAGTTTGCTGCTTTCTGAACATCCTGTGGCTTTCAGTGGTTTATTTTAAGACATATAAAAAACTTTAAGTACTTTTAACGTACACTATGTGTCTAAAAAACAAAAAAACTTTTTTACATTTCAGACAGAACCAGATGACAGTTCAAGTTGTTTCTCCAGTTTTAAACCCTTCATTTAAGGTTTTAGGGACATTCTTGTTGCGCCGGCGTCTTTGTTTTAAACTGGTTTTTGTTTTTAGTTGACCTTTGACCCTGCGGAGGGCGAGGAGCATCAGAAAGTCCTTCTAGTGTTTCTTAAATAAAGATGAGCAGAAATAAATAGCTGTTCATCCTGCAGTGTTCAGAAGACGAGAGAAATGAGAGCGTCGCTACAACTTTAACTGTTTCCTGTTTTTATTTTTCTGTTTGTGCAAAAGTCAAAACGTTCAACTCACTCAGGACTTTCCATTAAAATAACTTTTATACTCTTATCTTTTTTCCTTCTCAAACAATTAGCTTGTAGCTAGCTTTTTGTTACTTTTAGCTTCTAACTAGTATTATGCTTCTTAAACTTTAAGTGGATCAAATCTGCTTATTTGTGGACATTACCTCATCAACTTCAACTAGGCCTGTCACGATAAACAATAAATCAATTAATCAATTAATCACGATACATTAAAATTATCGACCTCGTTTTCATTTATGGACTTTATCGTTTCTTCGTGTCTCTTTCTACTGAAGACACTGGACGACAAAAGGATCAACTCCGGTTCTTCACTGACCCCTCCCTTTCTCTTTAAAATCAGTTTTAATCAAACAAAATCACGTTTTTTGGATTGTTAAAGCAGCTAAGCTACGAGCTAAGCTACGAGCTAAGCTAACGCATCGACCTTTGGGGGGGTGGGGGGGAACCTCCGTCTTGTCCAAGCTCCAAAATTCACGATTGAAACCCGTGCCTTTGTGTAAAAAGTTGTTTTTCTCTGCAAAAAGAAGCTGAGAACTTGTTTACTGATTTTTATTAAAAGCTTTGTGTGACAAACGCTAAAGAGCTCAAACCACACTGAGCGTCCGCCATTTTGAGAACTGAAGAGAGACAGCCCATGTCACATCAAGGGGCCTCCCTCCCATTGTTCTTAAAGACACGCTGCTCGCTCCCTCACTATCCATCCTTCAGTTCAAACTGTCTTATACTGCCATCCGGTGGTCAAAAAAAAGGTACTACACTCAAAACAAATTGAACCAATATTTCTTGTAAAATTTTACAATAATTGCGAATTATTGTAAAATTTTAAACAATATTATCGTTTATTGCAATAATTTCTGAGACAATTAATCGCCCAGTGAAATGTGTTATGGTGACAGGCCCATCTTCAAGTGAGGTACAATCCGACCAGTCAGTCAGTACCTTAAAGATCCAGGTACGAAGTGAGCAAAACTGCAAAGGTACGAGCCGACCCGGAGTCCAGTAAAGTTTATTTTAATGTTTATGTTTCCAGGTCAGTTTTGGCGTCAGCCGTCTTTCACCTCATAGAGTAGCTGTGGTAACTACCATGTTTCTGAGTAATCAGATTACTGATGTCTGTAAACACCGCCAGTTTGACGCCAACAAACCGACCAATCAGGACGCAGAAAGAGTCTGTTCGCTGTTGGAGGAGGTTTTAGTTTGAGCCTCCCGAGCCGCTCAGTTTAAAACTGGTGTCGGTTCAGGCTCAGTGTTCACACACGCTGCGCCCACATTAATCCAGATTAATCCAGATTATCCTGTTGTTTGCTGCCTTTGATCACAACAGCTGGACTCTTTGGGCTGCTGACAGTTAGTGATTTAGAGAGATTTATAATCTGCACAGAAGACGATTTAATTTACTTCAACCGTTTTAGTTTTTCATTCTTTGTTGGGAGGCGAGAGAACGAACTTCATCTTCAGGTAGCTGTGACTTATTTCCACATTATTCCTGGTGAATGTGTTCGCCGTTTCACTCAGGAAAACTGCTTCAACGGGTTTTTAGCAGGACTGGTGGGTTTCCTGCAGACACTTCCTGCTGATTGTAGCCGGCCCACTGTTTTGTCTGGAGTCCTGGGACGGAGATTTCTGTGAGCGTTTCTTCAATGTGTGTTTTTGTGCAGCTGGTTGTTCGGCTGATGATGTGGTGTGAAGATGGAGGCTCCTGAATACCTGGACCTGGATGAGATCGACTTCTCTGATGATCCAGTGGTCAGTATGACACAGAGATGAACTTGTCTTCAGAGCGCAGCTGTTCGAGCTGTGAACTGCTTTAGTTCGTTCGGGTGATGATTTGTTATTCGGCTGCTTTTGTAACGGTCGTATCGGCTGATGTAAGTGTAGTCACGGGTCACCGTGGGTTCAGCATCATGTCTGTCAGTGTGTTCTCAGAGCAGGTTACATGTTTACTCTTTGTCCTCCAGTATTCTGTGTCGTGTCTGAAGAACGTCCCAGATCTGTCCAGAAGGAGCGATGGTCCGGCAGAGGAGAGACCAGGTAACCCCAGTTAGACTTCATATACAGAACCGAGCCCTGGTCCTGATCCAGTCCTGATCCAGTCCTGAACCAGTCCCATCTTTACTGTTTTCCCTTCATTGATCGGATGTTCCTGTAACCCTTTAAAGTGATTCTGGATCAGCAGTTCTCCAGACTCCCTGAAGATTTCAGAGTTTTGCTCTCGGTTTCAGTTCTTGTTCCTGAACCGGTGCAGAGGACTGTTTTGACCTTTGACCTCTGACCTCATTCAGACAACAACAGAAAAATCTGCTAATCTCAGGATTTCAGCTCCAACAATAGGATTCTCACAGAGCTGAAAATTAGATGATCAGCTAAAGGATGAAGCAGCTCTCAGGTCCTGGTTCGGGTCTTTATTGGATCTGTTCCTGGTTCTGAAAGACTTTCAGGTTCGGTTCGTCTGCTGGAGAAGAGTTTGGAGGTCCAAAACTTCTTAGTTTGTCTGCATTTTTTTAGAAACCTGTTAATTTTTTTTCAGTAAAACTAAATTGAGAGAAAAATCAGCAAAAGTCCAAAGAAAAGTTCTGAAGGAGGTTCAGAAAGAAGAACTGCTGATCCAGAACCAAAGTCTGGACCATTGGATGGAAAACGGCGACAAGGACCGGATCAAGACTTTTGCACAGAACCTTACCCTCGTCTTGTCCTCCTGCAGCTCCGGCCATCAACTGGAGTCGGGGCGTGTCCTCCCACGGCGGCGGAGGAATCAAACCCACGGGCCTCGCTGACGTGCACAGTAAGTTCCGTCCGGTGAAGCGGGTCTCTCCTCTCAAACACCAACCTGAGACCCCAGACTCGGACCCGGACGGGAAAGTCCAGAACCAGGGGCAGGTTCTGGGGGAGCAGAGTGAGGTTGGTAAGATCGAGCCCGGTTCTGACAAGCAGATCCACGCCTCCTCGGCCGCCGCCGGGTCCGGAGGGAAGGCGAACGGCGGCGGGAACAACCCGCAGGTTCTGTTCGGAGAACTGGAACACTATGACCTGGACATGGACGAGATCCTGGACGTGCCTTATATCAAGTCCAGTCAGCAGATGTCCACGCTGCCTCGGGTCCCCCACGACAAGCGCCCGGTGCTGGGGGGTTCTGTGGGGGGAGGAACCCTGGAGCGGACCCGGGCCGGGGGACTGAAGAACTCGGCTCTAGTCCATACGGAGCCTCTGAGCCTGGGCAGCGGCGCCGCGCAGCCTCCGGTGAGTCCAGCACTTTCTAAAGACGGGTCGGCCGTGTCCTCGGTCACTTCTTCACTTTTATTTAGTTTGATTTGGTCTGAGAGGTTCTGATGGCCCAAAGAGGCGACTTGTGACCCGGTTCTGCTTGACAACAATAAACGGATGTTTTAAAGATAATTATCAAACTGTTGGCTCAACAACGTTTTTAAAAAAAGAACGATTGAATCGTTGCTGATCTCTGACCTGACCGTGGTTCTGGTGGGCCCTGCAGTTCTGTGTTCTGTCCCCGGTGAAGTGGTCCGACCTGAGGAAGTCCAAGTCCGTGGATCCAGACCTCCATCACCTGCACCGCTCCCCAGGTGGAGGTGGTTTCCAGCCGGAGCTGATCTCCTCAGGCCTCCTCAGCTGCTCCTCGTCCCTCTCGTCTTTCACTGATGCAGGTTCGGTCCGAAAAGTTCTTCTTCTGCTCTCCTGAAGTTCTGACGACGCGCGGTAAGATCCCACTCTCCTTTCAGACAAGCTGCTGTCGGCTCGAGTCTTCCCGGATTCCCAGAACCAGAGACCGGGCGGGGAGCCTCCTGGGCTGATGTTCCCCCTGCCGGGGTGCGGCGCCAGCCGGCCGGACGGCTCCAAACCCTGCTGGACTCCTGCAGCAGGAGGCTCCAGGGGGTTTGGAGGAGTAGGTGGGGAGGTGGATGAGGAGACCAAGAAGAACCAGAACATCATCAACATTGTGAGAGAAGGGCAGATCTCCCTGCTGGTGAGCTTCTATTCAGCTGACTTCCTGTTTGCTCTGTAAAATCACCTCCTGCTCCTCTGCTGGACTTTCCTCCTCTGACTCCTTCAAGCAGATGGATCTGTCTGATCCATCAGCCTCTTTATTTTCTGTGCATTTATGCAGTCCAACTCCTCCTGCAGTTTATTTATTTTTCTATTTTAGCTGTTCATAAATCAAAACGTTCGGCTCATTCAGGATTTGGCTGCTGTGACTTTTTTATACTTTAAAAAATATTTAACTTTATTTAAAATGTAGTTCTCCATAAAAATACAATAAGATCTCTTCAGTTCCTTCAGAAACGTTCTCTTTGAAATTACTTCAGCTGCTGGCTCTGCTTTTGTCTTCTTAAGCTCCTTTTAGCCTTTAGCTACCTCTTTGCAGCCTTTAGCTAGTGTTTTTTATTTTATTTGTTAGGTTGAACTTTGAGCTCGTTCAACAAATGTCAGAAGTCCTTCAGCGCTCTTTTAGCAGAAAATGCAGTTTCTTCTGTTTTATTTATTATTTATATTTTTGTTTATTTTGATGCGTTTACAAACAAACCTCCTCCTCCTGCAGCCTCACCTGGCGGCCGACAACCTGGAGCTGATCAGAGACGAGGACGGGAACAACCTGCTGCACGTGGCCTCCTCCCAGGGTCACGCCGACTGCCTGCAGCACCTCACCTCTCTGATGGGGGAGGACGGCCTCAACGAGCGCAACAACCAGCAGCTCACCCCCGCTGGTCTGGGGGTGAAGGTGTGTGTGTGTGTGTGTTCATCTCCCGTACGTCCACGTGTAACTAACCTGACGTGTGAGTGCCTGTTTGTCTCATCCTGGGGTGGACTGGCAACTCATCCAGGGTTTAGCTCCGCCCCTCACCCACTGACCGCCGCAGGAAATGAATTTTACGTGTTGCTAACCAGATTTACGAAGTTCTGTCACTGAAAAAAGAACTCCTAGTTGAACTAGTGATGATTCAAATGTTTCTCTCATCAGTACAGCTGCTGGGTTTAAAATGGCCGACATCTGTAGGCTAACATGCTAACTTTTGATTGGGCAGTGAGGTCGGAGTGTGATAAGACTCTTGATAAAATGAGCTAAGCATTAACATCAGCTCTGTTGGCGGCAGCCGGCGCCTCAGAACGAGTCCAAACAATCAGAGCTGAGGAAAGTTGGGCTTTGATTGACCTCCAGACAGGAAGTGTGCTATCTGGGTCCCAGCTGGACGGCTGCGTCCTGATTGGATCTTAAAACAGGACGTCTGTTTTTCACTCGGATCAACAGAACGACAGGTTTACAGCCACGCTGCACGAGAAGACGTCCAGACGCTTTAATGGAGAAAATAAATAAAGCTCCAGACGGAGGACTTGGTTCAAATGACGGTTCCTTCTTCAGGACGAGTGTCCGTCACTGACGCGTCCGGGTGTGTGTCTTTGTGACAGAACGGACATCTGGAGTGTGTTCGCTGGATGGTGAGCGAGACGGAGGCCATCGCTGAGCTGAGCTGCAGCCGAGAACATCCCAGTCTGATCCACTACGCAGCTCGTTACGGACAGGTAACGCCAGGCTCACCTGAACTGATCCGAGTTCAGTTCTGTTGGGTTTATGTCCAGATAGGATCTGTTCTCTTTATTTAAAGCTTCTCTTTAAAGTTCCCACCAGAAAATGGAAACAGCTGGCTTGAATTCATATTTGCTGAGGCAGCTGGTTGTTTTCCTGCTCGGTTTTTAAAAATCAAACCTCCTCCACATTAGATTTCATATTTACCTTTATTTAAAATTAAACATGGAAATACATAAAGATTGTTTTTAATTAATTCACAAACACTGTTCTCTTAGAAATAGGCTGTAGCTAACAGTCTCTTTTAGTCTTCTCATGCTGCTTTAAGCTTTTAGCTAGCCTTTTGCTGCTTTTAGGTAGTGCTTTGTAGCTTTTAGCTAGTGGTTAGCGTCTCGTAGCTAGCGTTATCTAGCTTTTATCTTGTCTATGACTGCTTTTAGCTCCTTTTTAGCTAGCATTTTTGCAGCTTTTAGCCAGCTTATTCTGTTTTAGCTAGTATTTTGCTGTTTTTAGCCAGCTTATTCTGTTTTAGCTAGTATTTTGCTGCCTTTAGAATGTTTTGCTGCTTTTAGCTACCATATTGCTGCTTTTAGCTAGCTTTTTTTTCTGGTTTTAGCTAAATTTTGCTGCTTTTAGCTAGTCTTGCTGGGTTTAGCTAGTATTTTGCTACTTGTAACTAGGTTTTAGCTGCTTTTAGCTAGCTTTTGCTGCTTTTAGTTAGCCTATTGTTGCTTTTAGCTAGGTTTTAGCTGCTTTTAGGTAGCTTTTTGCTGATTTTTATCTCGCTTTTTGCTACCTTAAGCAAGTGTTTAGCTGTTTTGAGCTAGCTGTTGCTGCTTTTAGCTAGTCTATATTTGCTATTAGCTAGGTTTTAGCTGCTTTTAGCTAGCCTATTTCTGCTTTAATCTATCATTTTTTCATTGTTGCTTTTAGCTAGTGTTTTGCGATTATTTTATTTTAATGAATTACTCATTTTTGGCCTGATGACCTGAACCACATGAGTTAACATAACTAATAGATAACTTTGACTCTACTAACTTTTAAAAGTAAAAGTAGCAAAACTATAAAATTCACTAAACTGTAGCTGAGAGCTAAAATTATGAAAATGTGAGCCAAAAATAATTAAACAGCAGCTAAAATGATCAAATGGTTGTTAAATCCTAAAAGTAGCATAAAAGTCAAACTGGAGACTGAATTATTCTTACAGGCGTCTTTTTGAACTTAAACTGTGCTCTAAAGTTAAATATTGCTTCTTTTAGGATATTTATCTGTAACTTTTGTTGTTTTAATTCATAAAGAACTTTTAAATGTTTTAAGACTGTTTGATTTGATTTAAGTGAGTTTGTTGTTTTCTGGCTCTTTTCTAAAGAATAAGAGAGTTTTGTTTTTTATGCATGTTTCTCTGTACAGTGTAGTCCAACATCACAATGACAAACTTTAAAGATGTTTCTACGCACATTAATTAATTAATTAATTAATTAATTACTGTGCATGTGCGTGTGCAGGAGAAAGTGCTGCTGTGGCTGCTGCAGTTCATGCAGGAACAGGGCATCTCGTTGGACGAGGTGGAGCAGAATGGAAACACGGCGGTTCATGTAGCCGCTCAGTACGGACACCTCACCTGCATACAGGTAAACTGCTGCCGCCGCACACAAACACACAGAGAGCACGACTCTGACCTGGGTGTGTGTCCAGACTCTGGTGGAGTACGGGTCCAATGTGACGGTCCAGAACCAGCAGGGGGAGCGGGCGTCCCAGAGTGCCGAGCGGCAGGGCCACACCACGTGCACGCGCTACCTGGTGGTTGTAGAAACGTGCATGTCTCTGGCCTCGCAGGTCGTTAAACTCACCAAACAGCTCAACGAGTGAGTTCCTCTGTCTGACTGAAGCTCTGAGCTCACAGCTGGTTCTGGTTCTGACCCAGTCCCAAACCCGTCTGTTCTGCAGGCAGGCAGCAGACAGGACGACCCTGCAGAGGCAGCTGCAGAGACTGATGGACCCCAACAAGACGGAGGGGACGCCGTCCAGGTCGCCC